CAGAACCTAATCACAGACCTGTACTGCTAACTAGAGTATCACCAGGGCTCCCCAGCCCACCTATCCACTCCCCAGTCCCCATACAATAAATATATTTTGTTTGTTTGGGGACCACACACTGAAGTGCTCTTGGCTTAGAGTTTGAGGGCTACTGCCAGTGGTACTCAGATATGTGGTGCCAAGATTGAACTAGGGTTGCCTGCACAGAGGACAAATGCTTTAACTTCTGTACTATCTCTCTGGCCCCAATAATATATTTTTAAAAAACCCAGGTATCCTAGATTTGACAACATATGATAGTTACTAGTAAAAAAGCACAATAATTATTATATACAAAGGATTTATTTATTTATTTGGTTGGGGGGAACCACACAGAGTGATTCTCAGGGGTTACTCCTACTGGACTCGGGGCACCATATGGGATGCCAGGGATTAAATCCAGATCAGCTACATGCAAGGCAAATAAATGCTCTACCCAATTATTGCTCTGGCCCCTACTAAGAGTTTAATACATGCTTATTTCACAGTAATGAAATGGACCCTTCACTTATACCTTATAAAAAGTAACTCAAAATTAATCAAAGACCAAATTGTAGCACCTAAAACTGTAAGACTCCTTAAAAGAAAACAGGTTTAAATCTGGTTGGTTGTGGACCAGATGATGGTTTCTTAGATAAGACACTGAATCAAAAACAAATGAAAGAGAAGTTAATTAGGATTTTAACAAAACAAAACTCTGTGACTCAAAAAACACTAGCAAGAAAGAGAAATGCCTCAGAATGGAATAAGTATTTGCAGGCCATATATCTATAAGGGTATATTATCCAAAATACCCACAAAGACTTATTACAACTTAACAACAAAAGAGTGGGTCAGAGTGATATTACAGTGGGTAAACTATTTGCTATGCACACAGCCAACCCAGGTTTGATCTCTGAGCCTTCCAGGAGTAATTCCTGAGTGCAGAACCAGGAGAAAGTCCTGAACACCACTGAGTGTGGCTCAATACCAAAACACAAACAAAATCCATGCAGTGAGCGAGGGGGTGGGGGGGATGTCTTCCAAGCAATTTCTGAAGCCTAGGGTCATTTCCAGCAATACTCAGCCAGGACTGTCAGACCCAGAAGTGTTGTGAGCCATCATCAGAGCTACCCTGCTGGACACATGGGGCAGATCCCGTCATGCTAAGAATCAACCCCCAGCCTTCACAAGCCAGGCATGCCCTCCAGTCCTTTGAGTATCTCACCAGCCTCCAAATAATGCAATTTTAAAAGGTCAAAGGATTTGAACAATTCTCTGATGATGACATACAAATGGCCAATAAACACCTGAAAAGATATCCAACATTAATACTAAGAAACAACACAAATCAAAGTAATAAAAATTCTATTTAATAACCACTGAGATGGCTGAAACAAAAAAAAAAAGAATTTGGGAATATGGCTCAGTGGTATGGCACAGGCATCCCATGTTCAATCCCAAGAATTGGAAAAATAATAAGTTGGTGAATGGATTCTGATACCTCCTACACAGAGGGATTGTGAAATAGTGTAAAAGTCAGTCTGATAACAGTTTGTCAGTTCTTGAAATGGTTCAAAGCCAGTCAATTCCATTTTTCATTATATACCCAAGAGAAATGTACATTCATACAAAAACTTGTACTTGAATGTTCAAGGCAGCATAACTTGTAATAATAAAAACATGGACACAATCTAAAAATAAAACTAATGATCAACAGATTGTGGGATTCCCATACAAACAAATATTATCCAGGTAGAAAATGGGAAGAAATGATAGTACACAGACAAAGAGAGTCAAAATCAGACAAAGGTTACATATTGGGTGACTCCATTAAATGAAATTATATATTGATTTGGGGCTGGAGCAATAGCACAGCGGTAGGGCGTTTGCCTTGCACGCAGCCAATATGGCCGACCAGAGTTCCATTCCTCCGCCCCTCTCAGAGAGCCCGGCAAGCTACCGAGAGTATCTTGCCTGCACGGCAAAGCCTGGCAAACTACCTGTGACGTATTCGATATGCCAAAACAGTAACAAGAAGTCTCACAATGGAGACGTTACTGGGCCGGCTCGAGCAAATCGATGAACAACGGGAGGACAGTGACAGATATTGATTTAACTATATTTTCAGAAAAGATAAATCTAAAGAGACAGAATGTGGATTATTAGCTGCCTAATAATTAAATGAAGCAAGGAATTGGGACTGATAACAGGTCCAGGAATTCTTTGTTGAGTGATGGAAATGCTCTGAAATTAGACATTGGTAATTGCTGCAAAACCTCATGAATTTTATGCTTTACAATGGTGAACTTAATATTATGTGAATGGTAATGTGACTTTTTTTAAAATTTAAAAGATCTTTTCAAATGTTTAAAAATATTTTAAATAAATACTTGAAAAAACATTTAAAATAAATACTAAGAATGGGCACTAGTGGAGGGATGGGTACTCGATCACTGTGTAACTGAAACCAAGCACAAAAATTTGTAAGTCTACAACTGTACCTCATGGTGTTTCACTAATAAAAATTTTTTAAAAAAAGAATCATAAAAGGAAAAAAAATAATAAATACTAAGAGCACCTAAAAGAAATAGTTTAACATTTTTCTCTTTTTTCATAGTATATAAAAATTACAGTGTATTTGGGAGGATAAAGAGATTGTGTCACACCTAGCTCTGTGCTCAGGTCACTGTATATGGTACCAGGACTAAACCAGGGCAAACACCTTAATCACTGTACTATCTTTCTAGCCTCAACAGTGTATTTTAAAGCCCCAGGTATCCTAGATTTGATGAAATGGTCTAGATTCTAGTAATTACTCTATTTTAAAAATCATAACACAGAGATTATATGGTTAACTGTATTTACTTACCTATTTATTTATTTTGGTGTGGGGACCACATTCAGGGTGCTCAAGGGTTACTTCAGGCTGCTGCTATGTGTTATTGAGAGAAAACCAGGCCTACCTATAGCATATAAAACATGTACTGTGTGTGAATGTGTGTGTAAGTGTGTGTGTAAAGGAATTTATTTCCTTTCCTGTTAAGTGACAATTCACTTCTGTTAATCATTTCTAGATTGCCTTCTGATTTGCTCATTTAGTAACTGAGGATTTATGATTTACAATATTGTTACTGATGGTTTACCATGGCACATAGTTCCAATGCCATACCAAAAAAAGGGGGTTTTATAGGAAAAGGACAGGGAAGGAAAAGAGGGTGGGCTAAAGACAGTGGGATCACAGAATAATATAATCTCCTGGTTGCTGATCCTGTGAAGCACACTTTTTTTTTTCTTTTTGGGTCACACCCGGCAATGCTCAGGGGTTACTCCTGGCTCATGCACTCAGAAATTACTCCTGGCGGTGCTCGGGGGACCATATGGGATGCTGGGAATCAAAACTGTGTTGGCCATGTTGGCTGCGTGCAAGGCAAATGCCCTACCGCTGTGCTATCACTCCAGCCCCATGAAGCACACTTTTTTCTTATTTGCAAACCCAAAAAAAGTAAAGGTCAAGCTTTTGGAGTAGGAGTAAACTGAGGACAAAATGTCCTTAACTTTAGGATCTAGGGCAAGAACAGTTGTCCTTGTCTAATACTGATCTCTGGCTAGGTTTCAAACTCACACAAACTCATGGACTAATTTAAAAATATAAACATAGTCTATGAGCCCAAGAGATAGTACAGTGAATAGTATTCTTGCCTTGCATGCGGCCAATCCAGGTTCAATCCTGGACACAACATATGGTCTCCCAAGCCCTTGAAGGATTGATCCCTGAGTGCTGAGCCAGGAGTAAACCCTGAGAACTGCCAATTGTGGCCCTCAAACCAAAAACTGAATGAGCAAAATATAAACATTCTAAATTATGACAATGCATCTAATTTACTCTCTTTGATTTATAACTGCATCAATAAGATTTCACTAAACTGTTTGTTACATCATAAAATATTCACTTCTAATCACTATCTACTAAACTCCTAAAGTCAAATATTCATTTGTAATCAGTATTTAATATTTAAAATGTCTAGAACCTTTGAGAAAATTTTAGCAATCATCTTGAAGCAGAAATTTTAGCTTAACATAATGTCCTCATTGCTTCAGCCTTAAGATTAATCTGTTCCTCACATTTTGCAACACTGAAATGGTAACAAGAAAAGAATTAAACTCCTCAGGGGCTGGAGCAATAGCACAGAGGGTAGGGCGTTTGCCTTGCATGCAGCCAACCTAGGTTCGATTCCCAGCATTCCATATGGTGCCCCGAGGAACGCCAGGAGTAATTCCTGAGTGCATAAACCAGGAGTAACTCCTGTGCATTGCTGGGTGTGACCCAAAAAGCAAAAAAACAAACAAACAAAAAGAATTAAACTCTTCAATATTTACTCCCTAAGCTTTTCAGAATATCCAATTAAAATGGGTACCAAAAATGGGTGCCAAAAGTGGTATGCTATACCAAAAGCTGCTAAGACACCTAACAGAATGAAGACAGAATTGACTTAAGCAATATTCCAGTGGATAAAAAGGTCTTGGTAAAAATGACTTTATCAAGAAAAAGTCTCTACAAATAAATAGATGTCACACAAAAGTCACACTACAATGGTTAGGAATATGTACAAGAAGGAAGGGAATAAAGGTAACAATTACAGGTTACCTCATGAGAAGATGAGGCACAAAGAAGCAGCAAAAACCAAGAGCAAATCATTTTGGGATTTTTTTTTCTTTGTGGAGGAGTGGTCTGGACCACACCTGTTAGAGCTCCGCTCAGCTGTCAATCCTAACAGTGACAGAGGCATGGGGAGTGTGGGACACAGACTTCATTCAGTTCTGGGGATCGAACCAAACCCCCAGCCCATTTTTAATGATAATGATAACTCAAGTCCATCCATGCCTCACAGAAATGTCACTACTGTTCTTCAGCAACCCTCTGCAATCAAAGTACAGATAATTCAGGGAACAAACCATTTTCAAACAGATTATTTTCCTACCTTCACTAATTAAATGTAATGCATCATGCTTTCCATCTCCTTCTTGTGAATGACCTGGATCCAGTGAAGTCTGAGAAAGGCTAACTTCAGCTGATAACTGGTCAAGACTATGATAACTTTTTCTGCAAAACAAAGATGAAATACTACTTGAATCTATTCTCACACACACAAAAAGAACTTCTAGAGATATTATTTAATAGTTCTCTTCAGTTTGTTAAATTTCTATTTAAATTCTCTTTTTCCCCTCTAAAACCTTGTCTTTAGCTTAAATGTAACATGATCTCCATTAAACTTTACCCTTGACTGTTTTTTGAAGATCTGTCTGCTTAAATTACTGAAAAAGGAAAAAAATTATTAAAAACTTAAATCCTTAGATCATATTTTTTATTATCCAGCTGGTTGAGAAATAGGAACTTCTGGTTAGAAGCAGAAAAATCTATAGATGACAATGCAAAAACAAAACTGACATAACAAAATTAACCTATTGTCTCTTGAATACTTCAAAAGATTTGAAAGTGTTGATATTTTATAGGTGCTATTATATAATAATAATGATAATTCATTACTGCAAGTTCTATAAATTGTAAGTTTGTTAAGTATTGGCAATAAAATATCTGTTTGTGTTAATACATTGAGATAATTCATTTCCTCTTACCTACTTTCAATTGTGATTCTATTTTATAGTAAACAAATTAGACAAACTATAATAGAGAAACATTCAGCAATAAAAGCAATGTTAATGAAAGTTTGTTAGCAAACTTTACTCATACCTATTTTGTCAAGATGAAATCAATTCAAGAGATATACGCAGCTTTGCTCTTTTCAAAAAAGAGGAAATTATTACTTCTAAGTACAAATGGCACAGGAAAAAAAAGAGTATGATTTTTGGTTCAACACTTATTCTGGAATAGCCAAACCCTATTTAATTTCCTAGAAATGTCATATATTCTTTGATGTTATACATGAGAAGACAAAACATAAATGCCACAGCTACTCTACTCAGACACATAATAGCAGACATACAAATATATGACAGGTAGTATTAAGTATGGGAGTAATATGTAACAGGCATCTGGTTTTTCCTCAAAGAAATGAAGAATGAAATGCCAATAAAGACTTTTCTAACTTACATGGTGACTTTTTTAATATCAAGAGTACGAAAATTTTGAATCATATTTTGAAGAAGATATTTTAACTATAATAGCAGAATTCTGATCATCATAATAGGTAACAGAAATGAATACTTTAATATGTAATAGAGTTAGTCCTTGATACCCTCGTTTGATCACTGATATCAGTAGATTCTTGGTTTCAGAACCACTGAAACACACACTTTCTCACATACCCATTGACACACTCAAAAATACCTACACACACACACACTCAAGACCTGTATATAGGCCCTCCACTATCTATAGGTTCCACATCTATAGATGTCAACTGATATCAAATTAATTCTATGAATGCAGAATCAAAGGACAAATTGAAAAAATCCAACATACACAGTTCAAATCCTGACTGATTAAGGGTACATTGTATTTATCATAATTGGAGGGCGGGGTATACCTGGTGATACTCAGGAATTACTTCTGGCTATATGATCATGGGTGACATATGGTAGTATTTAGAGGACCACATGCAGTGCTGGGAATCAAACTAGGGTTGGCTACCTGCAAGGTAAGTGCTTATTCCCTATACTACCTCTCTGGTTCCAGAATAAAAATTTTAGAGTGTGGAGCCAGGAGGAAACCCCTCTGCATCACCGAATGTGAACCAAAAAAGCAAAAAAAAAAAAAAACACAAACAGAATAAAAAATTTAAAAACCTCAATTGTTTACTTAATCAAAAAAGAAAAGAAGATATTAAAGTCATGTATTTTGACCATACAAAAATTCATGGCTTATCTATGCCATTATACTGTTCAATATAATCTAAATGAAGCTATTAGGAATTGTATCATGCCACAAATATTTGGGACATGATAAAATAAAATCCATTACATTCAACATCTTATGATTTTAAAGTCTTTCAAATTTTTATACACAGAAACAGGTACCTGAAAATGAAAAGCTAAAAGGAAATTGAGAAATAGGCCTAAATTCACCTGTTAGTGAAATATTTTATAATATTACATTTTATATTAATGATCAGAAGTAATAATATGGGGCCAGACACACTGTACAAAGGTTAAGGGACTTGCCTTGTTTATGGTAGAACCAGGTTCAATCCCTGACAATACATATTTATGGTCCTGAGTATCTCCAGGAGTCATCCCCTGAGCACAGAGCCAGGAGCTAGCCCTGAGCAATGACAGTTGTGGCCTCCAAGCCCAAAATAAATCATTACTTAAAAATTTTTTAAAAAAATGATATAATTTTCCCACTGGATATATTAAGACCAACAGTATTTTAAACTCTGTAGCAGTCACAGAAGAACAGAGTGTGAGACACAGGAGACATTATTCAAGTGTAGAAAATAAAAGCAAATATATTTACATTATCTAAAAATAGGTGCAGGAATGTATATGCAAACAGATATACTATTCTTATATTGGTGGTCTTACTTTCACAGAATATGCTTCAGGAACAAAATAAACATTTTCTATAGCAGAATATCTAATCTTAATGTATTATAAGTGATGGAAGAATGCAAGGGAGCCTGAAAAAGAAGGGTATTTTGTAAACTAGGCCAATGTAAAACCTCATGCTGTAAAAGATTGCTGCAAGCCTCAGTGTTTTAAGGACTGCTACTCCAAAGAATACTGGAAAGACACACCAGGATGTAAGTATCTACTCACTTAAGTTATTACAAAAACTAGACAAAGATCATGATAGGCATATAGAAGTTCAAAATTATCATTAATTATGGGATTAAATAGAAAATTAAGATATAATGATCACGGTCACAGTCCTCCCATTATTCATTGATTTGCTCGAGTGGGCCCAGTAACGTCTCCATCGTGAGACTTGTTGTTACTGTGTTTGGCATATTGAATACATCACGGGTAACTTGCCAGGCTTTGCCGTGCGGATGAGATACTCTTGGTAGCCTGCCAGGCTCTCTGAGAGGGGCGGAGGAATTGAACCCGGCTCACGCCCTACCGTTGTGCTATTGCTCTAGCCCAACTTAGAAAACTGAAAAAGCTTAAGTAGAAAATATAAATATGGCAATGAGTCTTATTTTAGGGGGTAGAAATGTTAGGCAATAATCTAACAAGAATATGGAACAGATAATCACCAACATAACCTTTACCTAACAAACTCATATGACCTAGATTTACATGTAAATAAACAAGACAGAAATTATTGGAAGAAAAAAATGAATGATTTATGTGTATTATGGGACATGTTTCAGCTGGTGAGATGCTCAGTGGGCTTATCTACCACTGTGCTATGGCTCCAGCCCTAATGTATTGTTTTAAATTTATTTTATTTTTGGCTTTCGGGGTCACACCTGGCGATGCTTCAGCACAGGCTTTCCATGCAGGATCCCTGGGTTCCATCCCCTACACAACTTGTTTCCCACAGTGTTGCCAAAGGCCACCCCAAGCACTGAGCCAGAAATTAGCCCCTAACCATCAGAGGATGGTTAGAGCCTATGAGCTCTTAAAAAGGAATATGATTTATGTGCTTAATTGCCATTGAGCTCTTACACTAAATCTAATATAGCACTGTAGCATTGTCCTCCCGTTGTTCATCAATTTGCTCGAGCGGGCCCAGTAACGTCTCCATCGTGAGACTTGTTGTTACTGTGTTTTGGCATACTGAATACATCACGGGTAGCTTGCCAGGCTTTGGCAAGATACTCTCTGGGCGAGATACTCTCTGTAGCTTGCTGGGCTCTCTGAGAGGGGCAGAGGAATCGAACTCAGCTCAACCGGGCTGGCTGCACGCAAGGCAAACGCCCTACCACTGTGCTATCGCTCCAGCCCTAATGTATTGTTTTAAATTTATTTTATTTTTGGCTTTTGGGGTCACACCCGGCGATGCTCAGAGGTTACTCCTGGCAATGCTCATTGTACCATATGGAAAGCTAGGGATCAAACCCAGGTTGGCATGTACAATGCAAACATGCTCCCCGCTACACTATCATTCAAGCCCTGTAATGCTTTAAATTTTTAACATAATTTCCTGTGTTTTAAATAAAGATAAAAAATCAAGCATAACTGCTCTGCAAGGTAAAAAAAAATCAAGAAATAGTATTTTCAGGCTATATAAACAACACAGTAAAAGTAAACAAATCTCAGATCTTTATTGAGAAGGGGATCTTCCTCTGAAGAGGTGAAAATATATCTATGCTATCCAAAAGTTCATCTGAAGAAATGTCAACAAGACTTAGAAACAAAAATTTTACTAAATCATATTAAATCCAATAGCACTTTCTTTTTCCTCAAAGCTAGTAAGGTGAATAAAGTTAGAGTACCAAGAGAAACAGCTACATATTCCCATAATCTTAACCAGAATTTATTATTATAATCTGATCTAGTTATTAGTTAGCGGGCCAGTTTCTTTTTTCAAATTATCAAAAGCTGGGACTGGAACGATAGCACAGCGGGTAGGGCGTTTGCCTTGCACGTGGCTGACCCAGGTTTGATTCTCAGCATCCCATATGGTCCCCTGAGCACCACCAGGAGTAATTCTTGAGTGCAGAGCCAGGAGAAACCCCTGTGCACTGCCAGGTGTGACCTCCCCAAAAAATTATCAAAAGCTAATAGAGCAATTAACTCAAGAAGCTTAAGAACTGAATTCACATTAAATAAAGAAACGAGCAGGGAAATTGCTCTCCTTCCTTCAGATTATAATTTTGCTGCTCCTATAATACTTTGATTAAAAATAATCACTGTTATGGTATGTAAATGTAAACTAGAAAAAAGTCTTCCACTTAGATTCCTTACTGGCTTATCAATAAGTAGCTCATTGGTAACTGGAGGGTGGAGGGAGGTACATACACGTCTTTTTGCTAAAGTATATTGTTTCCAACTAATGTAACAGTGTGGTGGCTGTGAATATAGCTCTGTAAAAGTGCATGTTCTTTGTGGATGAAGCACTGATTCCCTTCAATTTAAAAAAAAGGGGGGCAATATAAAATTAAATGACAATGTAAAATCTAATATAAAATACAGTTTTCACTCTCTTGACTTTAAGCTATTTTAACTCAGAATGTCATTTTTTTCCAGTTGGAAAGCACTGCAGGTGTGATGGGTAATCCCCTGAGCACTGCTGGCCCAGGCCATCCCTGGGAGTGACCCTGAGTCCCCAGCACCTCTGAGTGTAGCCCCTATTAAAAAATAACAGGAGCTATTATATACCATTATATATTATCTATATCATCTACCTGTTATATACTAACAAGTTAAGTTTACCAAGTTTGGCTGATTTTTTTCAACCAAAAGTCAGAAATACAGGACTTGGTGGTGGGGGTAGCGGGGAGACAAGACAAAGCCATCTTGGACGTGTAAGGTCCTAGATTTGATCTCTGACACTTTCTTCTCTCAGCACCAAGAGTGGTCCTGGTGATCACTGAGCACCACCAAGTATGGTGCCCATAATCATTAAAAATAAAATTAAATCGGGATGGGGGTCAGAGAGATAGCACAGTGGGTAAAGTGTTTGTCATGCATAAAGCTGACCCAGGTTTAATATATGCCATCCCACATGGTCTCCTAAGCATCACTAAGAGGGATTCCTGAGTGTAGAGCCAGGAAAAAAATTCTGAGTATCATTGGGTGTGGCCCCCACACAAACAAAAAATTAAATTGGTCTAGGGTAAATTTTTTTAAATATTCTATTAAACATGACACAGAAAAAATATTATGTACCAGGATAGTAAGATGTAATTTATTTATTTATTTATATATTTGCTTTTTGGGTGACACCCAGCGATGCACAGGGGTTAATCCTGGTTCATGCACTCAGGAATTACTCCTTGCCATGCTCAGGAGACCATATGGGATGCTGGGAATCGAATCCGGGTTGGCCGCATGCAAGGCAAATGCCCTACCTGCGGTGCTATCACTCCAACCCAGTAAGATATAATTTAAAAGCATACATAAGATAACTAGATCCTAAACCATAAAAGATTCACTAAATACTTTGAGTTCTACTGAGTTACATGGTAGCAGGTGAAGAGAGTTTTACTTATTTATTCAGTAATAGTCTTGCTGTTTCTTGCTTAACTCTACAATCAATAAAACAGAACCATTAAATGCTCTAACAACAAAGGTCATTTATTTTGATTTCTATCTTTAATTAATGAAAAATAACCAAAGAGTAAAGTAGCTGGAAATTATGTCTATGCCAAAAATTATCCTGTAGAACTGCCTGGCTACCCAAGGCTCAGTAACATAGATGAAGCTTCATTTTCTTTCTCACTTGTTTGAAATGCATAAACAAGGACTCTGTTGAAAGAAAAAGCAAAGCAAACAAGCAAATAAAAAAACAAGAAGAAGGTGGAAAGGAGAGGAAAAGGAAAACAAGAAGCAGAGGAAGAAGGAGGAGACAACAGCCCCGAAGGCATAGCATGAGGAATATAATTAGCTGAGGACAGGCAGCAAAAAAAAAAAAAAAAATTGAAACTGACAAAAAAGTAAACATTGCAAAGAGCAGCTAAAAGCTTACTGCATTTTATAAGCTCCAAGATCGAAAAGGATGATAATCTGAGATTTCAGCTACATCAGCGCACTTTAAATGCAGCAGTTCTGAACATTTGGAAAAGAAATAAGAAAAAGAGGGTGTATCCCACATAGCAAGCGACTGTATCTTCTACTGCCTCCAAAATTTAGAACTGACAATGAACAAAATGCATTCAGGATCACCAAAAATGAATAAATACCTTTCTATCCTTTCATGGGCTGGAGCGATAGCACAGCGGTAGGGCATCTGCCTTACAAGCAGCCAACATGGCCGACCCGAGTTCGATTCCTCCGCCCCTCTCGGAGAGCCCGGCAAGCTACCGAGAGTATTCGATATGCCAGACACAGTAACAACAAAGTCTCCAATGGAGACGTTACTGGGCCCGCTTGAGCAAATCGATGAACAACGGGAGGACAGTGACAGTGACTATTCTTTCATGAGATGGAATTTTTTAACTAGCAGGAAATTTACTCCTAAGACAAATATAAACACCAAAGTTCAAATTCAAACCAGAGGGCTCATTAAATATGCGCTCATAGATTTAACTGAAGGACTGGCTGAATATTAACTAAAGAAATAGGTAGTTGATACAAAACTATATACTCATTTCTCAGATATTTTACTTCCCCAGGGTGCCTTGGCTTAGAAAATATCAACACATTCAACTGCCTTACCCTAACTTCACCAAGGTAGTCATGTTAAATACTACTGTTGCTCTGTGCTAAGAGTTAAGAATTAAGGGGGTAAAAAAACTGAGATATCAAAGTGGATAACTATATGTTTTCGTACAACTAGATTTGTAATTAGTTGGAAAAAAAAGTATTACACTTACTCATACCACTGTTTATTGTGTTTTCGGTAAAGCAACGTATCCAAGGCAACAGCATTGACATCCAGAGCTCCTGGGGAAGGCCACTGGTTGGTGAGGTGGGCAGTTAACTCTTGTCTTGATCTTAAATCATTATTCTTTAGCACAGTCCTGTGAATATTAAGATGGTGAGTGCTTTTGTCTTCTCTGTTCTCCAATGGCAGAGGAACCTAATGGGATCAACTTAGGGCCCCCAAATTCATCTTCTTAGACTGATTTGTTGAGGAATATAGGAAGTTAGTTGGGCCATGGTTTCTTTGTCTCCTGCAATGTTTTTTTTCTTTCTTCCTCTGCTAGCTACACACATCACTGCTTATGAAATTCAGACTTCCTGCTTTCCATAGATATATAACTAAAAATTACAAGCTACACTTTAGAGCTTAAATGGAAAACAATGGCGCTATATAAAGTTAAGAATATCTGATGCCAGTTAAAATTTCCCTAAAATAATTCAATGACAATTGTAGAAAACAATGTAATCCACTAAAAACATTTTAACTAAATAATAAAAGATTATAACCTATAGTTCACTTTCATTCTTATTGAACTCTTCTTGATGATAACAACTTGGAAAATAACTAGTTTTGGTTTTTTGGGGGGTGCCATTGGGCTACACCTAGAAGTTCTCAGGGTTTACTCCTGGTTCTGTACTCAGGGGTCAGTCTTGAAGTGCTTGGGGACCATATGGAGTGCTGGTGAGCAAACTGGGTCAACCATACGAAAAGCAAATATGCTTCCCACGCTCTATCTCTCCAGCCCGAGGAATTAATTTTTTGACAAGATGCTAACTGCAGGAACCAACAACATTTCACTGTATGGTGAAGAGAAATAAAGGTATAATTTCATTTATGAAGGTCGTATCCTACCAACCAACATCCTAAAATATTACCTTGACAACCTGTATCCTCAAACAGAAATCTATTACTCTAGCTTACCACGGTACTGAGCATATGCTTGACATGAAATGTCACTGTTGTGGGAGACAGAATCAGGGGTACACTGGCACCCGATCCTGGTTGGGGAGAAATAAACCCAGACAACACCTCTGGATTCTAATGGGATCATGGGTTTACATGTCTGTAACAGGTTATGCACAAATATGAATGATACTTCTAAGTATCCGTGCTTTTAAAAAGTACTGCTCTACTCTCTCCCTAAAGAAACATTATCTGATTTAAAAATCAGATTTTTCAGAACACAATACTAAGAGGCAGCAAAAAGGCAGTGAGACTGTCACATCTATTAATTAAACTTTTAGGTTAGTAGCAACAATTCTGTTTTCCTGGAAAAGAAATGAAAATAGTTTTCCCTACCTACAATGTGCAAGTACTTGTTTTTCCACAACTGACAATACTTGATATTCATAATTTTTGTTCATTTTTCGTTGTTGTTTGGGGACCACAGATGGCTGTGCTTACGGCTTACTATGATTCTACACTTAGGAATCACTTCTGGCATGGCTTGGGAACTATATGTGATACCAGGGATCAGAACTGAGGTTGGTCACAGGCAAGGCAAAAGCCTTACCTTCTTTATTGTTGTCTGGTTCTGATTCCCTTATATGTATTTTAGATGTGAACTCCATACATGTTGCAAATACTTTCTACCAGTTTTATAGGTTGCGTTTTCAATCCATTGATCAGTTCGTAATTATCTTTTTAGCTTGATGCAATTTGATTCTTTTATTTTTTATTTTGTTGCCTATGTTTTTGAAAGTGTTATATCCAAAAAAATCATTGTCTAAAGCATCGTGTCAAGAGGTAATTCCTCTGTTTTCTTCAGGCAATTTTATAGTTTCTGGTTTGAGTGTTAAGTCTTTCATCTATTTTGAGTTGATCTTTAGGAATCATATGAAAGAAAATCTTTGTTTTGGAGTTACATCTGACAATGCTCAGAAATTACTCCTGGCTTTGTGCTCAGGGAACACTCCTGGTGGGCTCTGGGAACCATATGGGATGCTGGGAATCAAACCAGGGTTGGCCACATGCAAGGTAAGTGCCCTACCTGCTGTCCTATTTCCTTGGCAGAAATTATATAACAGATTTCAAGCTCCTATGGATATCTACTTTCCCCAGCATCACTTATTAAGAAACTACTATTTACCAATAGTGTGTTTTTGTTCTTGTCAAAAAAAAAATCAGTTTACTAAAGATACATGAATTTGCTCTGGGTTCTCTATTCCAGATGTTCTGCCAGTCTATAAGCCAATATGCAAACAGGTGCTGGTCCTCGGTTCTAAAAAATTAATGCCAGCATCATATTACATTTATTGCTATAGATTAATTTTTGTTTGCTCAGGTTTTGGTAATTCCAAAATGGTTTTGGAGGACCACTTCTGACAGTGCTTTGGGGACTATAAACTGATCCCAGAGCCTCCTGTATGCAAATCATGCACTCAGTCTGTTGCAGTATTTCTTGGGCTTTGTGATATAATTTTAAGTTAAAAAACAATCTCTCCAGATTTGTCCTTCTTTCTCAAAAGATAGCTGGATAGTTGCAGTCTTTGATGCTTTAATTTAAATTTTATTTTCCCCCTAGTTTATGATCCTCCGCCCCTCTAGGAGAGCCCGGCAAGCTACCGAGAGTATCTCGCCCACACAGCAAAGCCTGGCAAGCTACTCATGACGTATTCAATGTGCCAAACACAGTAACAACAAAGTCTCACAATGGAGATGCTACTGGGCCCGCTAGAGCAAAGCAATGAACAATAAGAGGACAGTGCTACAGTGCCTAGTTTATGAAAAATGCCAGTGGGATTCTGATAAGAATTGTGCTGATTGTATATCCCCTTGGTAAGCAAGGATTTTTAACAACATTGAGTCTTCCAATCTATGAAAGTTCTACTAAAAATGAATATAATCCTTAATTTTCTTCAATCCCTTTCTTTGGGGATTGGGGGGCTGAGTCACATATAGTGGTTCTCAGGTAATGTTTCTGGCTCTGTGCTCAGAGGTATGCTCGGCAGAAGATCATATTAGGAAATTCAAACTAGGATCAAAGGGATACAAGGCAAATGCTATAATTCCCATATAGTTCTCAGGCTCTCATAAGGTTTTTTTTCTCTCTTTTCCCCAAACTTTATTTGAACACTGTGGGTTACAAAGCTATTCATTACACAGTTGTTTCAGGCATTCACTGTTTCACACTAATCCCAACACCGTGTGATATTTCCTCCATCATTGTACCCAGTTTCCCACTCATCCTCCAAGCCTGTCTCCTAATTTTACATTGCTTGTTACCAAAAATAGTAAAGGGATAATCAAAAACTAGTTCACTAAAAGAAAAATATTAAAGTCGTCATCATATTTCACAGTGGTGTTATTAAAGTCACTGTCTGAGAATTTACTGAGTTGGTTATTGCTAGTCGAGCCTTCTGTGTTATTGTTTTAGATTACTGAGTTAGTGAGCTTTCATGCTACTTAACCATCAGATCTGCTATGCTCCCACTAGGCTACCAATAATGTCAAATTTGGAGGTGCTGTGTGACCGCAAATGTAGCTGTATACTCCAGGATCTGTAGAACTGGGATGATTCTTTGGCTTGGCGCCTCTTGAGATTAGTCATGATGCTATGCCATGTATTTGGTGAAGGTTTTGGGTGTGAGTGTTGCTTCTAGGGCTTCATCAGGGTGGGGACTCATTTGTCCCTTTCCTGAAGAGGCACCAGAGTTTTCAGCCTAAAGACTGAAATTATGGGGGAAGCATTCTTTTTTTTCTCTTTTTGGGTCACACCTGGCAATGCAAAGGCGTTACTCCTGGTTCTGCACTCAGGAATCAGTCCTGGCAGTGCTCAGGGGACCACATGGGATGCTGGGAATCGAACCCGGGTCAGCCGCATGCAAGGCAAATGCCCTACCCGCTGTGCCCTGGAAGCATTCTTTTTAACTAAGGACACAGATGACTTCTTATAAGGTAGCAATAATATCTAAGTATCAGTATCAATAATATCAGTGTTCTGGAGGACAGATCTTGTCATTGGAGACTGTTCAGTAAGGACAGAATTAGCTGACTCTCTGTGAAGGTTTGACCCCTGAAGTATGGTATTCTTTAAAGTGTTCATGGGGGACGGAGTGATAGCACAGCGGGTAGGGCATTTGCCTTGCACGTGGCCGACCTGGGTTCAATCCCTGGCATCCCATATGGTCCCCCAAGCACCGCCAGGAGTAATTCCTGAGTGCAGAGCCAGGAATAACCCCTGAGCATTGCTGGGTGTGACCCAAAAATCAATAATAATAATAATATAAATAAAATGTCCAGTGTTTTTAAATCTTTAAAAATGTCAAGTACTTTATTTTTTATGCTAATTCTGTTACTTTATAAGATTGTATAGGGGCCGTATCGATAATACAGTGGGTAGATCATTTGCCTTGCACACAGCTGATCCGCATTCAATCTCCAGCACCTATATGTTCCCCTGAGCACTGACAGGAGTGATTCCTGAGTACAAAGTCTAGTATGGCCCAAAACCAAAACCAAAACAGAACAAAGACTGTAAGTTTATCTGATTTATAAAGCTACTCACCCCACTACAAAAGTGACTATCTCTCCATCAGAGTCCAGTGGTCCCTATCCACATTCTCATCCTTTCATAATCTTAGCTATGTGATCAGATAAAATTATGTTTTTGTTTTACTTTGTTTCTAATTTTTTGTTTAGTATTTTACATGAGTGAAGATTATTTGATCTCTCTTTATCCTTCTGACTTACCTCGCCTAGCTCTGGTCCCTTCTAGTTTCATTTACGTAAAAAGCAAGATTCCATCTTTTCTAATAGTTGAGTAGTATTTCACTATTTATTTATACCACATATTCTTTATCCATTAATCTGTTATTGGGCTTTCACTCGTGTCCATATCTTAGCACTGATCTATGAGTCTACTTCAATACCACATGTTTTGATTACTATAGGTTTACAATATAATACAAAGTCTTGGACTGCCATGACTCTGTTCTTGTTTTATTTTTTCATAAACACTTTGTCGTTTAGCTCTTTGACAGTTTCATACTAATTTCAGTAACGTTTATTCCTTGAATGCTAAATGAATTCTGATAGCACTGAGTCTATAAAAGCTTTCTTTGGGTGGGAATGTAATATTATTTTATTATCATCTGG